AAAAAAAAAATTAAAAAATCATAATAACATAGCATTTATTCACACTTATTAGTCAAAATGGCGGATTCTGCTATAAGTATCTCGGATACCGATAGTGAAATATCCTCTAAAAAGTATAATTTCTCGAAAGATGATACTTTGACTATATCTACAACCATATCTACAACTGAGAGTAATTCGAATTCATTTGATGATGATGACGACAGTTTTGAGGATCTTGATCACCTTATTAATGAACGACACATAAAGGTAACTAATTGTGAAGCTCATTTCGAGGATTCGGAACCTGACCCAAGTAAACTTAGGACTTTGTTTAGTCTTTTAAAAAATTTAATCGGGGTTAAAGACATTGTCTCCTTGTAAGTGCCATTAGTAACATTATACAGCACCAGATGTTTGAAAAGGTCCCTTTTGTTAATCATTTTGATTATCAGGAAGTGATATGCTTTTATTAATGAAAAAGAGCCTATCTAACCGAAAGGGGCCTGTATAAGGACTTTTCAAACTTTCGGTAAATGATCCATAATATTTGTCTTTTATTTTGGTTAATTATTGATTATGTAATTCCTTTATTATACAGGCGAATTTCACTTCCATCACAACTTCTTGAACCTATTGGAAATCTTGAATATTGGAATTACAATGATAGACCTGATTTTTTAACTTGGTAACCTTTATTTAAAACGCAATTATTTCAAAATATTTCAAAAAGTGTCGATATATAATATATATTTATTTATTTATTTTATTTATTTAAATCTCTAACCCGAAATTTTTTTTATTTTTTATTTTTTATTTTTAGCATTGGTGATTCTGATGACCCATTGGAGAGAATGCTTGCTGCAATCCGATGGTGGTATGCCAAAGATTTGAAATTTGTGGTTTGTATTCTCTTCACTTATATATTATTAATAATTAATAATTAATAATTATAATTGATAATTGTAATTTTGTCATTTTATCAATTAGAAAGGAAAATTGGTCAAACCATATAATTCAATTCTAGGAGAACAATTTAAATGTCATTGGAATGTACCCGCTCCAAAATTTGATAAAAATGGTCATTACATAAATAATGACAAAACCAACACGTCTGAAAAAAAATTTCTAGTTACATGTCTTAATGAACAAATAAGTCATCATCCTCCTGTATCAGCTTTTCATTATCACTGTGAAGAAACGGGTGTGTCTGCCTGTGGAATAGATCAAATCTCGGCGAAATTCACAGGAACTTGTAGGTTTTTTTTCATTTTTTATTATTAAATGCTATATACATCTTGACTTATAATTCCTTTTTTTTTTAATAAACTTAGCTGTAAAAATTGGTCCTGGCGATCAAAACAAAGGAATTTATATTAACTTGGCTAAAAGAGATAATGAA